CTAGTGGGGGTAATAGATAATAGGCAATAAACGTAAATATAAGTAAATAATACAGCATTTTATTTTATTTTTTTTATTTATTTTTTTTTAAAGATTTTATTTATTTATTTGAGAGAGAGAGAATGAGAGAGAGCACACGAGAGGGAAGAGGGTCAGAGGGAGAAGCAGACTCCCCGCTGAGCAGGGAGCCCGATGCGGGACTCGATCCCGGGACTCCAGGATCATAACCTGAGCCGAAGGCAGTCGCTTAACCAACTGAGCCACCCAGGCGCCCAATAATACAGCATTTTAGAAGAGCTATGAGGAAAGACACAGCAGAGTAAGAGGGCTCTGGGGTGTAGCATAGGGTTCAAAATGAGTTGTGATTTTAAAAAGGTTAGGGTCGGCCTCATTGAGAAGATGACATTTGGCTAAAGATGGTTAGGGAGTTAGCACTGCAGATATCTGGGGGAAACACGTGCTAGGCAGACGGAAGAGCCAATGCAAAGGCCCTAACTCAGGAATGTGGCTGGTATTTTCTAGGATCAATAAAGGAGGTTAGTAAGGCTGCAGCAGATGCATCCAGGAGAATAACAGGAGATGAGATTAGAAAGGTAATGATGGGGTGGGGTGGTGGTCCAGATCTTGTAGAACCCTGTAGACTACTATAAGGACTACTGTAAAGACTTTTACTCTGAGTGAAATGAGGAGCCATTGTGGGGATTTAAGCAGAGGAGTGACATGATTTGACTTATGTTTTAGGAGGATCACTCTGGTTATTACGTAGAGAACAGACTCTAAGGGGTAAGACTGAAAGCAGGGAGAGCTTTTAGAAGACTAATCCAAACACGAGATGATGGTGGCTCAGACCAGGAGGTAGCAGTGGAGATGGTAAGGGATGCTCTGAATCCAGACTAGACATGAGATGTAAAAGAAAGAGGGAGGTCCAGCATGACTCTAGCGTTTTTGATCTGTAAATTTGCAGGATGGACTTGTCATCAACTGAGATAGGAAAATTGGTGGGTTGAACAGGTTTGAGGGAGAATATTTTTTTTTCAGTTTGTGGCATAAGTTTGAGATGTATAGTAGACTGCTGGGTATCAGAATCTGGAGTTCAGATGAGAGGTCTGGGCTGAATATATAAATCTGGAAATGTCATCATATATGATGACATCATCTATCTCTGATGGTACTGAAAGTTAGGAGACTTAATGAGATCACCAATGAAATGAGTATTGATATAAAAGAGAAGAATCCAAGGAATGAGCCCTAGGTCGTTGCCGTTCCCTAGGTCTGTGAAAAGAGATAGAATCAACAAAGAAGAAAATAAGACAGGGAAAGAGGGACCAGTGACGAAGGAAGAAAATTGAGATTATATGGTTAAAAAAAAAAAAGGTGAATCAAGTGATTAGCTGTGTTAGCTGTTACAGACAGGTCAATTAAGATGAGAATTGCAAATAGATCATTGGACTTAGGCAATATGAAGTTCATTGTTGGCCCTGAATAGTTTGATAGAGTGGTAACGATGAAAGCATGAATGGAGTTGCTTTAAGAGAGGGTGGGACCTGCTCAGTGGGATACCTAAAATATGCCACATATGTAACCTTGTGTGCATTGTTATGATTTTATTACCTATGTATATGGTCCTATCATAGGCATTGTATTTGGCATGTTTTTGAACTTTGTATAAATTGTATCATATGGCATGTATTCTGCTACAGAGAGGGGGAGAACTAGAGACAGAAAGTATAGAAAACTCTTTTAGAAGAGTTTTGGAATTGAAGTAGAGAAATGGGGCAGTAGCTGACAGTGGAAGTGGGTCAAAGAGATTTTGTATGATTGGAGAAATAACAGTTGTTAGAAGCTGAGGGGAATGACCCAGCATAGAGGGAAGCACTGATAAGATTAGGCAAGCCAAGCTTGGGATTTGTTGCCTTAGCAGAGGGACTGGCTTTGGCTAGGAGCATGGAAAATTCAACTACATAATGGAGGGTAAGGTGGAGAAGAGGTTATAGATGTTGGCATATGGGTATGGGTAGATGAGATCATGGGATTCTGTGGAGACTTTTTTTTTTAATCTCATTGCTTCAATTTTCTCAATGAAAAAGCAAGGTTGTTAACTGAGAAATGAGGATGAAAGGGAAGGAGGTGTAGGTTAGAGGACAGAGAGGTATGAAATCCAGAACAGAACAGAGGAGGGAAGTGGGATTCTGGAGCAGCACTAATGGCCCATTGGAGGTTAAGAGTGATGAAATTAAAGTGAAACTCACTAGCATGATTGTGTTTTTCTTTAGCCACTTTCAGATGCAGGGTGCCGGTGTGGAGTAGGTGGAGAGCTGGCTTGGTCAGGATTGTGGTTTTGCCAAGCACACACAGCAGCGGAGGAAGAAAGTACTGGGGTTGAGGGTGTGTGCAAGGGCGTGATGCAGTGATTGGCCAGGGGTTTAAGCTGGGTAAGGATGGGAGAGAGTGGATATGTACTTTGAACAATCGCTGCAAGGAAATTTGGAAATATGAGATGGTGTACAGAGTATAAGGTGTTTGAAATCATGATTATGATGAAGTTGCAAAGTTTGATAATCCTTCTGTGATTATGCCCATGGGAGTGAGTGGCTGAGTTAGGGTAGGACAAAATCCCTGGAGGAGAAGTCAAAGAACTGAGAGGTCAGGGTATTGGGAAGATCATCCACATGTACATTAAAAGCACCTAGGATTAAGACAGAAGTGGTACTGGAGTGACTGACAGGAGCAAATGGTGAAAAAATGAAGAGGAATGGAAGCGACAATGAGGGGTACTGGATAACAAGATTTAAAGCTGCAGATTAGTAGGGGGAGAAGGGGATGGTCTATTGAGGAGCAAGGAGGACACCTACCCCACTTCCAGGTACAGTCTGAGAGGCTTATGGTCAAAAACACAGTTCCCACTACTTGGGAGGGGGCAGGGGACTCACTGTTCCAGGGGAAAGTCAGGTTTCCTTTAAGCAAGAAAGTGAAGACAATCTGAAGAGAAATTCTGAGGAGGTTGGGGTTGCAGGGATTATTATTTGCATAAATAAATAGATGGTGTAGTGGACTCTGATGGGGCCCCACATGATTCCTGCCTCCTGGCATTCGTGCCCTTGTGTGGTCTCCTTCCTTTGAGTGAGGGTGGGACTTGTGATTTGCCTCTGGCCAACAGAGTATGGCAAAGGTGACAGGATGTATGGGATTATGCATACATGATTGTGTTACATAAGGTTGTTACCAGTGTCTTACACTGAGACTCTCCCCCTTGCTGGCTTTGAAGAAGCAAGCTGCCGTATTGTAAGTAAGCTTCCACTCCCTATGGAAAGGGCCACATGACAAAGAACTGAAGGGACCTCCAGCTGACAGTGAGCAAGGAACTAAGGCCTTCAGTTCTGCAGCCAGCAGGTAACTGAACGCTGCCAAGAGCAGTTTGGAAGTGCATCCTTTCCCAGGCAAACTTCATTCTGTGATCTTGCAGAGGACCCAGCTAAATTTGTGGTTAAATTGTTACACAGTAATAAATAACTAACACAGATGGTGATGGAAGAGGTTTAGTTATAGCAATGTTACTGTTGGCTCCACATATACCCCAATGTGGAGCCCAAGGTGGGGCTTCAACTCATGATTCTGAGATCAAGACCTAAGCTGAGGTCAAGAGTTGGCTGCTCAACCAACTGAGCCACCCAGGTGTCCCTATAGCAATGTTACTTTTAACTCCTTTTGAGGTATACTGCCTAGAAACCACATGTTGATCAATTACCAAATCACCTAGTTAGAACTTCCTTCAATTTTGTTGACAGGAAAGAACTGGAAACCACCTGACTTGCAAAAGAATTTACAACCCATTCATTCAGATCATTCACTTTCTCAACACAGACACCAATTTCTGAATTGTCCCTTTGAATTTCCCTGGAGGTTTTTACATTTTGGACTGGGGCGCCTGGGTGACTCAGTCAGTTGAGTGTTGGACTCTTGATTTCAGCTCAGTGCATGATCTCAGGGTTGTGGGTTCGAGCCCCACATCGGACTCCACTCTCAGCACGGAGTCCACTTAGGGTTCTCTTGTCCTCTCCCTCTGCTCCTCCCCCCCCATTCTCTCCTTCTAAAAAAAAAAAAAAGTACATCTTGAGTTGATGCACCTTAAGTAATGGGTGAGAGTTTTACTTTGCTCTGTCAGGTGGGAGGACAATTTTGAAAGAGGATGCTCTGTCCTCAGGTGATTTCTCCAGCTGAACAATTTTATTAAATAGTACATATATCAGTGGAAGTTCTGTAAATGAATTACCTTAAAACTAGTCTTGGAAAGTCTTCCTGAACCCCAGGAGTAATTACCAGTGAAGACGACACTTGTGGAGGCTTTCTAGTAGAAGAGGTAAGAGCAGAGGATGTGATGGTGGGGAAGACAGCATGGGAGTAGGGGGTAGGACACTGTGTGTGAAAGGTAGGAGGGTGACCAGACTTAAGAAATGATTTTAGAACTTCCCAGTAATTAGTTTTCATGCGATCCCCCAATGGAAGTATTTTCTAGGTGGTAGCAAAAAATAAAATAAAAATTAAAAAATATATAATTAGTATGTGTTTTCTGAAACTTTTTAAATATTAAAGAAATGTATGCATCTTGGAAAACTTTCAAATAAAGTATTAATTTAAAAGCAGAGTTTACCAACCTAGTTAACAGGTGTGTTGCAGGTCCTTGAAGGTCCCTTCCAACTCTGAGGTTCCACCTAAATCTCTTCCACTCACTTTTCGTTAACACCTGACCAAACTCTTAAATGTGTGATTCCTTGACTCTCCTATGCATCTCTTAAGCCCAAAAAGGATTTGGCAAGTTTAAACACCTTTGGATCTAGTGATCCAGGGCTGGTGGAAAGGGAAGGTGCGGCCATTGCCAGTTTCTTCCCAAAGTAAACCGCTACAACCACCTTCACCCTGGAGCTGGCTGGCCAAGTCTAATTTTTGTGCCCGCAGGTCCTCAAAACACAAGGGCCGGCTGATCGCTATTTATAAACACTTACTGGACGCCCACTCTACTCCGAGCTCTCCCGCGCTGCTTGAGTACTTTACTGCAAAGGGATGCCAATTCTTCTGATGAACTCCCTCCAAGCAGCCTTAGTGGGCCAGCGCCCTCAGCCAGCGCCGGAGCCCAGAACCGGACTCTGGGCAGCCAGCCGACTGGCGCTGCCTCACGGGCGCAGGCGCAGAGCGACCCTCCCGTCACTCCGGGCGGGAGGCGGGGGCAGCCGGGAGAAAGGAAAGCTGCGGGGGGGAGGGCCAAACCCTGAAATTACCCGGATGTGGTCTCCGTGCGCGCATGCTCAGTGTCCTTTCGACAAGTTGGCAGCAACAACACGGCCCTGATCGTCGTCGCCGCTGCGGTAACGGAGCGGCTCGGGTGGCGGAGCCCGCGTTCGCGCCCGCCCGCTCTCCTCGGGAGGCCCTTCCCGCCCTCCCCTTAACTCCACGGCCGCCCAGGGCGGCGGGAGCGGGTGAGGGGAGCCGGGCGCCCCGCGAGAGAGGCACCCCGCCGCGGGGCGGCCCGGGAGCTCGAGGCGGCCCGCGCGGGCAGTGGCGCGGCGCCGAGGAGGGGCGGCCTGGCCCGGACGCGGCGGGGCGGGGGCCGAGGAGCGCTCCGGGCTGCTGGGGGAGCGACGGGCCCGGCGCCCCCGCGGACGAGCCGCGGCGGGAGAGCGGACACTGCTCGCCATCGCCCGAGCCCAGGTAAAGCGCCATGTCCCCTCCCCTTCCCCCGGCCGGGCCCGCGCACCCCGCCCGCGGCTTCCCCGCCCCGGGGCGGGCTCCCGGCGGCGGCGGCGGCGGCGGCAGCAAGCGAGCGGGAGGCCGGCGGGTGCGCCGGGAGAGCTAGCGCGGCCCGCTGACGGGCCCGGCCGGCGGCCCCAAGGCAGGGCCGGCGGGCCCGCGGGGCCTCGCGTCCCTCGGGCTCCGGGCCCGGTCCTCCGGCCCGGAACTCCCCTTGCGGTGTGTGGCCGAATCAAGTTAAACTCGGACCCGGACTCCTGCTGCGGCCGCCGCTTCTCTTTGTTGTTCTTGAGTAGTTTCACTGTCCGCCCCAGCCGAGCGCGCTGGGTAGGCTGGAGTGTGTCGCTTTAGGTATAAATGAAAGTTGTAAATGGCCTGCCTTAATTTCTTTTCTCAAGGAAATCTTTTTTTCTTTGTCCTTTACTTTCCCTTCCTGGTTGTGTCATTCCAGTTTTTGTTTCTGGCTTTGATTTGTTTACTCACTTTTTTGAGCATTGTAGGTGATGGCTGTATGCGGGAAGCATTCTCAGCACCTAACTGACCGCCACCCCCAACCCCACCCACTCCTAATAAAAAATAAAAGACATAGTTTATTTTATTGCTAGGACTACAAATACTGAGCGTGAAATTGGTGTAGGATGTAGGGCGGTGGTTCCATCACATGCCCCAAACTGGGGTCATAATTTCTCAGGCAAGATTTTCAAAGAAATGGGTGTGTTTGGTTAACTTGAAAGATTTCTTTGCGGGTATAGGGAGGTTTTTAAAAACTCTGTTGGCGATTGATAGCTATTTTCCCCCCTGAAAACCCTAGTAAAAATTTTTTTAATGAACATATTTATTTCTGATTATTTATTTTGAATTTAGTTTCTTAATGCCTTTAATTTTTGCACCATAGTTTAAGGTGAAACTGCCGATTATTCCGGAATTATAAATACAAGATAATGTGGAATCATTTTAATTAGTCTGAATTAATTTTCTAAAGGCATGTAATCTTGGCTAATTTTTGTTAACAACCTTTGACTTTTGCAAGAATTAGCATCTTTTTAGTCTCGATAGCAGTTCGATTATGTGGGTTTTTAAAAAAATAGGTTCAGTATTTTTGTTGGAAGAGACCATGTAGCCTTAAGAGAAAATAAAGAAATGCATACTTTCAAAAACTAATCAGATTTAGAACATTGCATCGGAATAAATTTTATTGTGGATTTCATAAATTGCCTTTGCCTTGTACCGAGATTAAATGTCTTTCAGTTGAAATACAGCGTAGGAAGTTCTAAGGTGTAACTTTGCTTTTTCTGCTAAGGACTTCTTATTTTGTCTTTTGAAAAGTTCTGATATGCTTAATACATGACATTTCAAGTTGTAAATGATTGATATAATTAATATTTTAAAATACGATATTGTGTTAATGTTAAAGTAATGATTTTGTTTTCTTAAAAGGGCTTGTTACAGAACGGGGTAATACAGGCAGTCTAAGCATTTACGATTTGCAGTATTTTTAGGTCTAAAGGTGGTAATGAATTACGTAGGTTTAAGTCGTTGGAATTAAAACTAAAAGCCTTTCTAGAGAAAATTGATACAATATTTTGTGAGTCTGTTAATAGAAGTGGCTTTTTCTTTGCTTTCCAGGTTTTTGGGTGAGGTTGCTTTAAAGAGGTATTACATCTTAATTTTTTTATTTTTGTGGTGGGAGTGCCTAAGTAGAAGCTTCTCTGTTTAGCTAAGTGCCATCGTTGTAAATCTTGAGCTTAGAAAAGAACTGCAAATCAGTTGCAGATTTAATGAAAAAAATTTTTTTAAGATTTTATTTATTTTATTTATTTGAGAGAGAGAGAGAGAACACAGGGAGAGTTTCAGGCAGAGGGAGAAGCGAGCAGGGACTCGATCCCTGGACCCTGGGATCGTGACCTGAGCCGAAGGCAGACGCTTAACCCACTGAGCCACCCAGGCGCCCAGATTTAATGAAAATTTGGGATGAGAAAATGAATTTGAAATTTTTAGAATACATTTTATGTGGATCATTGGCCTTTCTGATGGCTTTGCTACTTGAAGCAATTCTGCTTATACTATGAAGCAGCAAATCTTATTTCTAAAAATCTATATATGTTTCACTTTCTTAAGCTTAAGCTGTTTCTTTGTGTGTGAATTATTTTTTCTGCATTCCGCTTTAGGTCCCCCCCCCCCCAAATTAAAGAGAAAGTATTAAACTGATTTATGCTGCCCAGTCACACTCCAGCTCTCTGGCTTGGAAGCTGTTTTTTTTTCTGATTGAGCTGGTGTTATAGTAACATCATTAGACGCTATTCTAATTGAGCTGTGAATTGCTGAGGCCTCTACTAGAGCAGTTAACCCTACAGTATCTGCCTTGTTCATTATATTTAAAATGCATAATTTGTCTCACCTAAAATTTTGCCTGTTTTGGTGAGTACTTTATTTTTCTTACGTTTAAGCTTATTTTAGCTCTACATTGTCTACCTCTAACTCATGCCTAACTTTTTTTCATTTTTCATTCAGTGATTTTTAGAGTGAATGGGTCTTTAAAATCTTATGTTGGCCATTTCAATGCTCATTGTACATGTTTTGATTTCCTTTTTTTCTAGAAGATTGTGTAGTTAGGCAGAAATTTTTGTTTTGCTTAAGTGATTAAAGGTTGACCCTGAAATGATGCTAATCATGTGTAAGACTAACATGACTAAAAGAGTTTCATTGATTTCATTCTTTTCTCCACTAAATGGAAGTTAAAGGACTTGGATCACCATAATGCAGGATACATTATAATTTTGTTAAATTATCAAATTTTGGGATTTTTACTCAAAAGCTGATGAAGATTTGATTGTTTTAAAAAGACAAAGTTAAATATGTGTAGATTTCATTTGAGCAATTTTCAGTATGATACCGTTTGCATCATAATATGACAAAACATATGCTTGGTAATGAGTCAGATTTAGAATTTTTGGATTTTTTTTCTAATTTTAAAATGTGTAATTTTGGTGATGGGAAATGTGGCTGAATTCCAGTTTCTCAGGAACAAGGTATTTTAGGTTGTGTCACCTTGACATTATTTTGTGGTGTGATTGGCATCCAGGAAAATTTGTTTTAACCATGAGAGCGGATAGAAACTAGGGTAGTGCTTACTTATGTAAAACTAAGATGATGATAGGTGGTCAGAATCTTATAATTTAAGTCTTAGTTATTTGCTACTGCAAATTATATCATAGGTCAGATAGATAGATACCAGAGACTGATTGTAAAGATTGTTATAACATCTTAATTTAAAGTTGGTGATAATTGTAAATACATTTAAGCTTGAAGACTATATTATTTACATTTTAAATGAAAATTGTTTGCACTTTGGAGAACTTGTAACAGTGTGGGGTTCATCTTTTTATTGCTTTTTTACTCCCAAGGTTTAGGACAGTGGTTCTCAACCTTGGCTGCATTTTGAAATCTTCTGGGGAGCTTTGAAAAATACTGGATCCCACCGCCAAAAATTGGGATTCAGTTGGCCTGGGGTGCAGCAAGATTAGAGTTGGAGGTGGCTTAGCTATTAGGGTCCTCTAACTATATTTTGAACTGTTTCACTTCCATCCTTTAATACAATGACGTACATATGTACTGTGTAAATCATCTCACATCTAACGTAATGGGTCTTTTGAAGGTATTTGCCGCATTTGTTTTGCTTCAGTGGTTGTCCCTTCATTTGTCCCTCTCTCCCCTTTTTGTTCATTTTCTCACTTCATTTGAAATGTCTGGTAGCAAGTTTTAGGGACTTGTATTTCCCATGATAAGAAGTTGGTATAGCAGTACTATTCTAAATAGGAAGTTGATCTTTTTCTTAAAGTACTCTAAAATGCTTATTTGGGCTCCTATTTTAGAGACTTAGGACTTTGTTTAGGTGCCAAAATTAGCATCTAAACTCCCAGTGGAATTTGGTCTTCAAGGGGGGTTAATCTGCTTGGAAACCATAAATTTTCTAGGCACCAGTTAACTGGTCGCTTCACTGGTTCCTGAGAGGCAAGTATGCATTTAGCTTTTGCTGTCAGGAGTTAAGTTATACGCTGTGAGACAGTTGCTCAGCAAGCCCAACTAGTTAGCATTTCTTTAGAAATCATCTAAGGAGGGCATATTCAGTTCTCCATTTACATCACCTGCAGTAGTTCCTAAGTGCTGGTCGAAGAGTAGATGCATCTTCATCTCTGGAAGAGCTATTTTTTTTTTTTTAATTATTTTTCTCTTCCCACGCTCCATTCCAGCACACACAGATTCAGAATGGGAATTGAGTGGAGGAGGCATGGGAATCTCTGATTAGAAAAAAAAAAGTACTTCTTGATTTTAAAGGCTTTGGATATTTTATTCTTATTGCTTTGCTTTAATATGTGACAGGCTTTATTTTGCAGTCATTGATGCATGGAGTAATTTACTTAAAATCCATCAA